TTGTCCCCATTGTCCTTAATCCCGTATTCCCAGAATTTACTGCTCCACCCCAAGTGAATATACCCCGGGCAGTTCCTCTCCAGAGCCTCCCTGCTTAATCCCAGTAAACCTGTCCTTGTTCGTCCTCTGAGGAAGTTTTACTGCCTTGGTTCTAGGGGGAAAATCTTGACCTTAGAAACTTAGGGAAATACTGCATTTCTCTGTGGACATCCAGGGCTCATGTTTGGAATTAAATAAATATGACTAAACAATTTGATGAAAAACAATTTGCTATTAACTGCCAAGTGGCTAGATCTGTTACACTCAGGCCTATAGGGCCTCGAACCTCTGCACAGTCTGCAACAATCACCTTTCAGTCAAATAAAAGATTAACATAAAATAAACGGTATCCCTCGTGAGCAATGTGCTCCTTTAAACCATCAACGGTTTGAGGCCAAATGGTCAACGTCTACCCAGAAACAAAGATGAGAAGGCAGTGAGGGGAAGGCAAGACAGAGCAGTTGAAGCAGAAGAAACAGAATGGAGTGAATGAGATGCTGACCCAGTGTGAAAACGGTAATCATGCCATGGAACAGCTGGTACAGACATGGTTACAGAGGACCCGAATTTAATTTTCTGTGCCAACATTATCCTTGTATATATATGCATATATGTCTATATGTACATTTACATATACATGTATATATGTACAATTGTTGCTGATAAGTGCCGTCGACCCATAGTGACCCTGTACAAGGTTTCCGAGACTGTAAATCTTTCCAGGAATAGAAAGCCTCATCTTTCTCCCATGGAGCGGCTGGTAGTTTTGAACCACTGACCTTAAAGTTCGCAGCCCGATTCATAACCACTACGCTACCAGAGCCTTAAGGAGCATTCTTCTCTGTCACATAGGATCACTATGGATTACAATTGACTCAAAGGACTCAAAGGAATGCGAAACAACAGTATTAACCCTTACTGACTGCTATACCTGAGTGAACTCTATCGCCTGCTTTCTTCAAACCCAGGCATTTGAAACCAGTGGAATTTTCTCCATTTACTAGTAAAGGTTTGGTTGAAACCAGGAAATAGACTCTGAGAACTGGCTGGATAGAATTCAAATCATGCCGTTAACCTCTGTTAATGCATTTGCTTTGAAAATGAACTAAAAAACCTATATAGCTTGGTGGTGGTGGTGTGCCATGGAGTCGGTTCTGACTCATGGTGACCCTGCATGAGGTTTCTGAGGTTGTAAATCTTCACGGGAGCAGAAAGTCTCATCTGTCTTCTGTGGAACGGCGGGTAGCTATGTACATGTATCTTAGAGCCCAGAAATGTGTTTGTTATATAAATAAATGTGACACTCGTGTCTGTATCCCATTTTAGATAGTTATGGTCTGGAAAGGTGAAACCCAGAAGCCATCAAGAGAAGGATGCACATACTGGACTCTATGAACATTAGATAGCTAGATAGATTTGGTATGGAAAAAGTTACAATAATCAAAGTCAAAGGCCAATGAAACCCCAAGAAAATAGTTGTATCACATATGATAGAAGTTTAATATCACTAATATCTGAAGTCCAGACCCACTGCCTTCAAGTCAGTTCTGACTCAGAAACCCTACACAGGGCAGACTTGAACTGCCTCCACTGGGTTTCCCAGGTTGTAGTTTTGGCGGAAGTAGACTGTCTCATCTTTCTCCCACAAAGCAGCTGGTGGTTTCAAACAGCTAACTTACTGGTTAGCAACATTTGACCCACTGCATTACCGGGCTCCTCCTATATGAAGAGATCCTATAAATGGCTAAATACAATTAGTTCTGTTAATAAGCACAACCAAATCGTATCACCCTATAAGTATCTTCTTTCACTTTTTCTTACCCAAACCTATCAGGAAAAAGGTGTTTGGTGGGAGTTACAAGGACTATGGGTAGAAAAGTCCTGTGCAGTCATCCACTGTACTGCAGGCGATCTTGGCAAACTTGCAGTTGACTGTTTCTTCTCCCCTGGCAGATACAGCCGTATGTGAATGGAGCTCTGTATAGCATCCTTTCAATCCCATCCATCCGGGAGGAGGCCAGAGCAATGGTAAGGAAACAGTCTTGGAAAACTTAGAAGCTTCTATCAGTGCAAGTTTCAAAACTATTAGAAAAAGGACTCCAGACAGTTCATGAACCCCTTGAAATTGTGTACAAAATAGAGACCTGCGGTTTCCTGGGGAGAGCACTGGTAGGTTTTATCAGATGCTCAAGAGGATCCCAAGTTCCAAATGGCTAATAGTTACAGTGTTAGACAGTTCCCAGCAAGACCAGAATGGTCGTGGTTGAGGTTAGTAGCCACGGAAAACTCACTTGTGACACACAGTGACGCTATAAGACAGAGGAGAATGGCTCCTTCAGGTTTTCCGGATTGTAAATCTGTACAGGAACATAAGTGCACACAACCTCGTATTCCTTCCATGGAGCCCTTGGTGTTCTTGAACCACCATCCTTGTGGTTTGCAGCACAGTGCTTAATCTGCTGCATGACCAGTGTTAGAAAATTACCCGCAGATTTTTTTATTCCTTAAACTTCCAGATATTTTGATAGCATCCAAATGGCACAGAGAAAATTGTTAAAGATTTTAAAACTGTCTTGTACTTGGTTTGGTTGGTAAATAGTAAATTCAGCATTTAGTGTGTATACGTTAATACTTACGTTAAAGTTAAAAAAACAACAACCAGCCTCATTGAATAGCATCTTAGTTTGGGAGGATGAGAGTTTCCAGATCTAACCTTGTTCTTTTTCCTTGCCACATGTGAAACCAGGTTAGCCATGTGGGTATTAAGTGCTATGGTGAAGGGATTAAATCTGTTTCCATAGTCAGAGCACAAACTAAATTTAGTTTGAGACCAACAAAACATGTTCTGCCAATTGTTGCTGCTTACTTAGAAAAATTGCTAAATCTCTTAATTGGGCTTCTAATATTACAACCAGTTAAAAATGTGTTAAGAACTGGTCTGTGTGGTCAAAGTAGACAGTGGAACTTAATTGCCTAGTGGTTTATAATAACAAAAATGTACTTTTTCAATAAGTCGAAACCCAAACTCATTGCCACTGAGTCACTTCCAGCTCATAGTAACCCCATAGGATGGAGTACAATCGCCCCGTAGGGTCTCCAGGCTGTAATCGGCACATTACATTCTCTGCGGAGAAGCTAGTGGGTTCAAACTGCCAACCTTTCCTTTTGCAGCTGAGCACTCTAACCACTGCATCAGCAGGGATCCTTCTGTCTCTAAAGGACAGAGTAAAATAAACTTGACTAAATTCCGCATTTGGGTCATTGGGTCGTTTAAGTAGAAGAGAGACATTTTCAATCAAGGCAGAGAACAAGGAAAGAAACATCTAAGTGGGAGAGAAAGAAAGAATGGAGAGGAGGACCCTGAATCCAAAAGAGCAAAAGGCAGAATGGTGGGAAGACGTGCTAGGGGAAGAGGTGGAGAGAGGGAGGGCATGGTGGTCAGGGCAGGGAGTCTAGGAGGAGCAGAGTAATGACGTGAGGTCAGGAGTGGCCTTGGAGATGTTGTAGGCCAGAGAGAAGAAATATGAGCAAGAAGGGATGGCACTGCAGAGGTCTGTGAGAGAATGTTGTGTGGTCTAACACAGGTGTCATTGGGGTCTCTAGGAGCAGAGAAAGGTCTCTGAAAAAATGTTGACATTTAGTGAAGAAAAAACTTACCAATAAGATGTGTACAAAATCCCCAAATATCTAGAACTTGAACAAGGCTCCTACGATGGCAGGGAGAGACACAGTAGCTGCGGGCTCTAGGCCCATGGACTGAGTAAGGCTGTGTGCCTGTGGGCAGGAGGCGGGATTGCACAATATGCCCTCAGGACATTTAAATGAATCTATATTTTTTGGTTTGTGTGTATACATCAAATATTGTTGCTTTGTTTATTTGTGAAATGTAAGAAGTAAAAGGGAAGCCACAGGGAGGAAGTAGGACAACTGATATTGCAGAGAGGGCATTGTAATCTTTGGGATGTGATAAAGCCTATAATTTGTTGAATGTAAAGCTGATAATCTTGTCTGTTAGCCTTCACTCAATTCACAATAAAATGTTAAAAAAGAAAACAAAAAGAGGAAAGATTAATTTAAAAAAAAAACAATAAAAAAACACTTGTATTACTTATCTATTGCTGCATAACAAATTACTAAATAGTGTGTTGTAGTGTTTCCGAGGCTTTTTGAATCTTGGCGAGAACAGAAAGCATCATCTTTCTTCCACTCCACAGTTGAGTGACTTAAAAAAGCAAACATTTATTATCTCCTAGTTTCTGCGTCTCAGGTGTGTGTGAGAGAGCATATTTACCTGATGGTTACAGCTGAGACTTCAGCTAGAGCAGCAGCTGTCTGAAGGTTCATCTAGGGCCGGAGGACCCATCACTCCTGGCTGGTGGCAGGAGTCTTTAGTTCCTTGCCACCTGGGCTTCTCCGCAGGACTGCCCTCAGCGTGGCAGTTGGCTTTCCCCAGAGAGAGAGATCAGAGAGGAAGTGACCAAGACAGAAGCCACAGAGTCTTTTATTACCTTATCTTGGAAGTGACAAAGTGACGCACCTCCACTTTTACCTGGTTCTGTGGGAGAGGACGACACGAGCATGCATGCAGGGAGCCCATCACTGGGGTGCATCTTGGAGGCAGGCTGCCACACACTTCTGAGTGATGGGGATCAAGGAAGCACTCACCACGAGTATAACAAATATTTTCCCAATTTTTTTGTTTTGTAACTATGATTATGTTCTGCTTTTGGCATAAAACTGCTTAATTATAGTCAAATATATCCATATTTTCTTTATACTTCCTGACGTATCTCTAGATCTTTTATGAATTACTGACTTTACAAAGAAAACATGCATCTGTTAGGTAAAGGTGTTAGTAATAGTATAAACTTCAGCCTGTCTTAAACAGATCGACATGTAAGACAAGGGAGCCTCCCTTGCAGCCCAAGTGGAGGGAGTGTTTGGCCACATCACCCAGGCAGTGGCTTGTTTAACTTCTAATAAGAGAAACCTTGAGAGCCTGTGTTAGCCACATTAGAGTTCTCGTAAGACCCTGAGATTTCCCTCATATTCTTAAGGAAGTTTGTAGATTGATAAAACTGTCCCATTCTTCTAGCACATAACAACAATAAAGGAAATGAGACAATGCTGAAGACACGCGCCCTTAATGTGTCCTCCTTCACATCTGCTCGCACATGGTCCCAAGGACAGATCAGCTGTGTTGATCCTACAGAGAAGGAAATTTGACAGACATGTACAAACCCATCACCTTATCCATTTCACTCATGGACACAGGTGGAGTGCCCCACACAGAAGCACCGTGTGTGTGTGTGTGTGTGTGTGTGTGTGTGTGTGTGTGTGTGTAAACTGGTCAACGGTTTATGGTAGAAGTTGGAGGCAGCATCAGTGCCTGGCCACAGAGGAGTTGCTAATGGAATCAAGATTCTTTTGCTGCAAATCGTAACTGCTGTTGAAGATGATAATTAGGAAAAGCCACCCAAGGCAATATGGAACATTTTTATTATATAATAGAGATCAAAACAAAATGCAGGTATCCCCTGCTTTTTGAATGTTTGCTGTACGCCACTTGACCTTTATGAAAGACCTATACTGGTACCTGTTTTTGTGAACAGAAAAAAATCTAGGAGCTACTGATGGGCTCAAACTACCTTTCGATTTACAGCCAAGCACATTACCGCTGCACCACCATAATTTCATATACACGATATAAACCGAAAACAAGTTAAACCTGCCGATGTCCAGTCAGTCCGACTCCGTGACCCCCAGGACCGAGGAGACCTGCTCCAAAGGGTTTCTGAGGGGTTCATCCTCATGGACGTAGACATTTCATCTTCCTGCTTACCTTTCAGTCAGTAGTCCAACGTATCACCCATGGCACTACCATTGCTCCTTATACAAATGAAATAAAATAATTGTTGTCGTTAAGTACCATCAAGTCAGTTCTGACTTACAGCAACCCTGTATAGGAGTCTGAGGCTGCAGATGTTTGTGGAAGCAGAAAGCCTCATCCTTCTCCTGAGGAGTGGCTTTGTTGTTGTTACGTGCCGTCGAGTCGATTATGACCCTTAGTGACCCTGTATTGTATAGAGGGTTTCTGAGAGCAGCTGGTGGATGGAAACCACCAACCTTGTAGTTCAAACTGACCTTGCGGTCCAGTGTTTATCCTGCAGTGCCTCACCAGGACTCCATACGTAGTAATATGTTGTTGTTGTTATGTGCCGTCAAGTTGGTTCTGACCCATAGTGACCCTGAATACGGTCTCTGAGGAGCGTCTGGTGAGCTTGAACCTCTGACCTTGAGGTTCAAACCGACTTTGCAGTCCAGTGCATTAACCCACAGCACCACACCAGGACTCTCATAAGTAATATGTTGTTGCTAAGTGCCGTCAAGTCGATTCCGACCCATAGCAACCCTGTATAGGATTTCCGAGGAGTGGCTGGTGAGCTTGAACCACCGACCTTGCGGTTCAAACAGCTTTGCAGTCTGGCGCATTAACCCACAGTGCCACTATGTGCCGTATGTAATATAGTTACTATAAATTTCATGGTAGAAAAAGAATGGCAACTGTTAAAAGAAAGATTTTATTTGTTCATTTTCTTCCCCAACATGTGGTTTCACTTGTTTAAGACTATGTTTAGTCTTGAAATCTAGAAAGCAAAGTACAAACTTGGGAAAAACACAGGAAAGAAACCGTCTCTCCCAAAGCAACATATTGCCAAAACGAAAGATCATATTCACACAGTGAGATTTTACATTAATTTTATGTTGTTGTTTGGATTTGGGGTTTGCTGGGTTTTTTTTTATTGGCTATATTAGATTCAATTTAAATAGTCAACCAAAAAGAAAATAATTACACTGTGAATTATTAATAGAATCCAAATGGCATGTTTAGTACTGAGCAGAGGGATTTTTATTGTGTGTATCCCATCCCTCCAAGTAAGAAAGATTGGAGATTTGATGAAATTAAGCCCACTGAAAGTAGTTCCCCCCAAGACAGAGATATTTACTATTACTCTTTCTGATGCTTTTAGGGAATGGAAGACATTCTACGCTGCTTCATCAAAGAAGGCAACGCTGAAATGATTCGCCAGATAGAATTTATCATCAAGCAGCTTAATTCTGGTTAGTGTAATGCAAGAAGTTATGATCTAACCTGTAACTCTCACATTTGCCAGAAGGATCCTTTCTTAGGTTGTCATTTCTTGGGATTCATTAGAGAAGCTTCACTCAACAGTAAGATGCGTTGAGGTCTAAGGCTGGTAAGGTAAGGCTAGACCCCAGGATTATCCCAGGTGACCCCCCAAACAGGTATTCAACCTGGGAGTCAAGGTCAGATTGTCCAAATATATAACCGTTTGTCCTCACACTTTGGCATACTGTGAGCAGCGAGAAAGCAAAAGCAATTCCAGAAACTTCTCAGGCTGCAAGTTCTTTATGTGATCCAACCCTCCTTGCTCCTGACTCATGTCCACTTTGGAAGGGGGCCTTTCCCATGGCCCCTGGGTTAGATGATGGAATCAGATCCAATATCTGTTTACCTAACAGTAGGTAAAAATATTCTGCTGCTAGGTAAACAGAAAACCAAACAAACAATGAAATGTTTGCTGATAAGGTGTGGGTGTAACCAGAGGAGAAGCTGGCAGCCATACCCCGCCAATCAACCCTGCCTTATATTTTCACCTTCCGCACCATGGGACTATTTTAGATCATTTTAAAACAAAAAAAAAATTTTTTTTTTAAGTCAGGAGCACACAAGTAAACTGAAACCGTTTATCACGTTGGTAGCAAAACCACAAGAGAAGGGCTATTGCAAGTTCTTTAAAAATTCTTATTCTGATGGTGCCCCTGGGGGTGGGGTGTGGTTCTAAATTCCAAGGGAAAAAGAATTACAAGGAAGTTTTTAAGCTTCATTTAACAGTCTTATTGTTGATAGTAACATTGGTATTGTTACGAAACTCTGAAATATTGTAGAGGAGCCCTGGTGGCACCGTGGGTGAAGCATTGGGCTGCCAACTGAATAGTTGGCAGTTCAAACCCACCAGCTGCTCCGAGGCTGTCTGTGCCCATAAAGACTTGCAGTGTGGAAACCACCTAGAACCCTTCTAGCCTGTCCTACAGGGCCTTGCTATGAGTCAGAATTGACTTCATGGCAGTGGGTGGTTTTTCTCTCTTTTGTTTTATTTTTGGTTTATATGTTATAGAATAAAACAAACAAGCAATTATGTTAATGTCACTAGGAGCCAAGATTGTCTTCGTATAAGATGAGATACAAATAGATAGTCAAAGGCATAAAAACCTTGTAATCCCTCATTTGAATGGGAAATAGCAGTATGAAATCATGGTGGGTCTTTTTATTTCTAAATTTTAACTGAGAAGATGTAGAAGAACCCAGAGAGGAAATGGAAAGAGTGCTGTTAATACCACCAAACAAAATGTCTATAAATTGTTGTATGCAAAACAAATGTACTACTCTGTAAACTTTCACCCAAGCTACAATGAAAAGTTCCAAAAATGAATAAAAAGAGTTCACATCCCAGGACCAATGAAAGCCCCTAATTCCCACCACAAAGAGCCAGTATGCTTTAAAGAAATGACTGATTCCAGACCCAGGGCCAGAAACAAGGTAAGTCCAGGACTTCTCATCCTGCCAGGTAATAGGAAATTCAGCTAAGACACCTAGGGTCAGGCCACAGGGACTCAGGAGCTGACCTGAAGAACAGACTCTGTAGGGCTAACAATGAGACAACTCAGGAATTAGAAATGAATGATAACTTCCCTGGAGTGAATTTCATAACATACATAAAAATTATTGAGTTCATAATGATACTAAGAAAAATTCATCAGTCATCTTTTCGGGCGTTCAGGCGCCAAGCTGTTATTTCTGAAACTGATGAGTAACCCCCAAGAAACCCACTGTCATCGAGATGATAGATAAGGTTGGGGGGGGGGGCGGAATCAAGCATTTGTCCTGCTCCTTCTGTTTAGTTGTTTATTTTCCTCCCCAGAATATCCCACATAGGAAAGTTCTTCATCATATAAAAGCCAGCTACTAAATATAGAAGACTTGCTGGAAAACCATCATTTTACAACCTTAATGAAATAGTGGATCTAGCCAGTGATCATCAGTCGTCATCAAAACCATTAGGGGACATTCTGATGGGGAAGTTAATAGTGAAGGAAACAGGCTTGATAACACCTGAACACCCTACTACATCTTGGTAGAGATGGGTGTGAGCCACCAAGTCGGTTCCAACTCATAGCGACCCTGTATAGAGTTTCTGAGGCTGGAAGTCTTTATGGAAGCAGAAAGCTTCATCTTTCTCTTGTGGAGTGACTGGTAGATTCGAACCGCTGACCATGCATAATCCACTACTCTCTGTGTCATTGAAAGTGGGGTGACAGGACATGGGCTGTGACGTCATAGGGAATTCATGATATCACCTAAAATGATGAATCACAATCTAATCAAATCGCCACATATAGCTTGCAGTTTACAGGAAATAGCGGAAATAAGATGAACTCCAAAAATAAAAGTATTTAAAAAATTTTTTTACCAAGAGAACATCGATCTTCAAGTGCAAAAGTTTACTTATAGTTTAGGAACTTAACCTAAAGGTTAGGTCAGGGGAGGGTCCCCAATGCCTGCTGAAACCCGAAGGAAACATCCAGCTCCGTGAGCTTGACAGAGGTGAGTGGCCAGCAGCAGGGGTGGGCATTGTCCCCCATCTGTGGCCCAGGCCTGCTCCAGCCCTCAGTGAAGGACTCAGTAGGTGTGTCATAGAAGTGACGACAGGAAGGCCAGACTGGGCAGAAGCAAGGCAGAGCCAGGTTCACTCGGAAAAGTGACAATATGGTAACTCCAGCCTCCTGCCCTGTTAAGCTCGTGGAGTGTGCTGCAACGCAGGAAACTGGGAGATGGCTTGATATCCCAGGAACCCAATGAGGAGGAGTAGAATTTTCATAGTACTTTTTAATTCACAGGAAAGAACCCTGGTGGTGCAGTGATTAAGCACTTGGCTTCTAACCAAAGGTCAGCAGTTCCAACGCACCATCTGCTGTGTGGGAAAAGATTAGACAGTCGGCTTCTGTCAAGATTACAGCCTTAGAAACCCTATAGGCCAGTTCTACTCTATCGGGCAGCATCTGGATGAGTCACAATCAACTTGATGACAACAGGTCAATTCACAAGACTGGGTTATTCCAGTTGTAGGAGGAGTTTGAGCCAATAGGCAAAAAGGTCTGTGGCCCAGGGGAGTGGGAGCTGAGGGAGGAGGGAGAGGGGTGGAGGCCCACACAGAATGCCTGAAATCCAGATGGACGTATTTGAAAATGGGAGGTGGAGAATTGGTGAAGGTCTAGCAGCAATGCCATTTGGAAAGCCAGTTACTCATCTGCTGGCGGTGGAATGCAACGGCGCTCCTCAGAGGCTGCTAGGGCATAGAACTGAGGCCATGAAACCAGCCAAAATGCAGAGTGACAGGGCATCTTCGCATCTGCACCGTGACTCCCTGACTCATTAGGACTCCATGATGACCTATGGCCCCGAGGTAGGAGCGGAGGTGTCCAAACCCAAGTGAGGTGGGGACAGAAGTCAGCGTCCTGCTGGCCTTCAGGAAGAGCGCTCCCAGTGCTGTGTTGAGGACGAGAGGCGTCCTGACCTCTTTCTCTGGACAGAGACTTCTACGTGTTCTGTTCTAGAAAAATGAACAACCTGCATAAGAAAGTTCTTCTTCATCAGAGATTACCAGCTCTTAGGTATAGATGACATGCTAGAAAACCATCATTTTGCAACCCTGATGAAATTGTGGTTCTAGCCTATGACCATCAACCACTGTTAAAACCAGGAAAATGAAATGGGGAAATTTATCATAAAGGAATCTATAAATGTGGTGGACAGTCTCATCAAGTGTGACTTTTGGTTCCTTCTTTCCTGTCATTTTCTGTTTGACTTCCTCCCTTCCTTCTCTCAAGCTTCTTTATGTTCTTGTAACTTCATCAAGAAATAAATGATAAGGAAGGAGGAAGCAGTAGGAATATTGGGTTAAATAAGTCAGATGCTTGGTCCCCAGAATCCACAAACCCATCTAGTAAGTGAGAAATATACCTAAGCAAGTCAGTAGCCATTCATTCATTAGGTAAGCATTCGTCCTCCAAAAGTGGTAATTGCTGTCAGAGGGTTCCCAATGTGAGTGTGTTCAGGGGATGGAGACTTGATTGCTCAGCAAGGGACTTGGGGAAATCTCCATGGATGAGAAAGGAACCCACAGCTATATGAGGTAGGCTTTCATCCATTTTTCCATAAACTTTTTTTTTGAAGCCCCCTTGTATAATGGCCTCTCCGGGCCTGGCCCTGGGCTGAGTGGTTTAGCTTTGGTATGTTATAAAACAGCCCAACAGTCCTAACAAGTAGGTAGTATGATCTTCGTTTTACAGATGACGTTTGCTGTTGTTAGGTGTTGTCGAGTTGGTTCTGCCTCACAGTGTCCATCTATATGACAGAATGAGACTCTGCGTGGTCCTGCTCCGGTCTCACAATTGTTTTCAAATTTGAGCCCATTATTGTAGCCACGGTGTCATTCCAGCTCATCGAGGGTCGTCCTCTTTTTCACTGACCCTCTACTTTACCAAGCATGATGTCCTTCTCCAGTGACTGGTCCCTCCTCATGACATGCCCAAAGTGCACAAGATGAAGTCTCGCCGTCCTTGGGTCTCAGGAGTATTCTGGCTGCACGTCTTCCGAGACCTCCTCATTCTCTGACCGCCCACGGTCTGTCTAGTCAGTATTGTTCATTAGCTCCACAAGTCAAAGGCATCAGTTCTTCTTCAGTCTTCCCCACTCATTGTTTAGCTTTCACGTGCATATGAGGAGATTGAAAATACCTTGGCTTGGGTTAGGTTCACCTTAGTCCTCTAAGTGACATCTTTTTTTTTTTTTTTTT